CTTTCCTTTCTGTAGCAATTCAGGAAAAATACAGAAGAGGCTTGCATAGCCTAAAACCTATTAACACTATATCAAAACCAATATAAAAAGACCTGACATTTCCACATGCTGTACAATTCTGTTTAACAAATGCCTTATTGGACGACGCTCCCTCCATGCATCAGAAGTGGGGGTCACTGATACTATCCTGTTAAATGTGAGAACATCACAGGCTAATCCCATTCAACATCATTTTATCAAAAAATAACTTCCTCAGGAAAGGCATCTGTACTGTCATCTGGAAAACCTTTTATACAAATGTAAGGTCCTCCTCCTTCCTGTCCCAGTTAACCCTTCAGTCCCCCAAGATAATTTGATATTTCCAATTGAAAAAAAAAACTAAACTGAAAAACTAAACTCAATCTAAACTCAGTAAATTGTATAATGCAATTGTAACGCATAGCTAGCGTTGTATGTAATTGTCTTGGACCTTACCAAATTGCTAAGCTCAGACCTTGAACATGCCTATCTATATTCAAAATAATGTTCAAGTTTTCCTCCTTTTCTTCGTTAATGTGTTATGGATAACATTCACTGTATGCCCCCCTCCTTCACTGTATGTTTGCCACGTCACCCTCTTGAGTTTAACACATACATTTCCTCAAACATATGTAGGCTACTGATACAGTTTGATGTAAGTGTTAAAGCAGAACTATGTGTAGAAAAAAATAAAAGTTTGCTAGTAGATATGATTTTATACACAGTATCTCTTCTGCAAAATAGCCTTCTAAAGACTGTACAGTGAGCTGTGCATGCACAGCTCAGTGTACAACCTCAGTATGCCTTGGTGCTGGGATTATCGCGGGAGTTAGGTCATCCTGGTGCAGCTCTGGCACAAGAGCTTCCAGACCTTTTGTCACCTAAGGGAAGGTGATTATAGCTGGCTTTCCACTGTAAGTTGCTGTCACATATTACACTCTGGATAATTTACAAGGTTTGGGTTCAATGGTACAAAAATCAAAATACCTTAAACCAAAATGTGAGAAAATGAGCTGAAAGAAGAAAGTGTGTACAGCATTATCATGGCCATAAATGTATTAATAGGGACTAATGATGAATGGTCTTTCCATAGAATTGGGAATCTACTGTTCATGTGCAACCTGGCCAGAAGACTTTCCATATTGTACAGTTAACTATCAATTATGTACATTGGATCACCTCTTTCAAACAGTGAACCAGCTGATGCCGCCTGACATTCGGCCCGTGTGTACTAGTCTTAAATGTGTATCCCATAGCCATATGTTTAAGAATTTTGCAGATATCCAGCAGCAGATCAGGGCAGCACTTGCAGTACCTGTTGCGAAGCTTAGCAAAATGTTTCCTAATTTGCTCTCAGTAAGGGATACATTAAAATACTACTTAATTAGTGAACAAGGAACTAACAATCAACTAAAAATCATCATTACAATACCCATTTCATTCTGATAATCTTATTTTTACTTTAATACATCTTTCAATTTTCCATACGCCCGGTAACTGATGGAATTTTGTATTCACTTGCTAGAGTTTCTGCCAGACTAACAAGTGTTGAAACTTTTATGAGCCTGTTTGTTTCTCTTCCGCGCTGCAAAAAAATATTTACCAGCACAGACTCTTTACATTACTAATCCATATACTGCATCATGGCTTCCAAGTATTGCACAAGGTTACACAGAACTGTGAGCCCATGTCTGAGGGTTCATGGTCTTGTGAATGTCCATTTAGCTTCCCCCATACCACCTTATACCACTAAGCTTGTGCACTCCTGATAATTCTTTGTTTGTACTGTCCAGCTATCAAAAGATCATAAACTTTAATGGCATTGCCCCAGAATAAGTGACCTTTTACTCTGGTTCCTGAGCTTGTAGCTGTACATGTTCTATGGATACAGGTTTATTCTTGCAACTGTCTTTATTTATTGTATACATTTTTATTTGATAGTTTATGCAGAATTCATATACAGTATATTAACTACATAATGTAATTGAAAGGCCTGTGTTTAGCATTCCTTACCAATTTCAAGGCTCAGTCCATACCTTTTTTTAAACTACACCTACTCTGTATATCTGGATCACTGAACTGAAGGCTCATTCACATGAGCTGCATGCAGGCAGCCCGTATAAATTGAATGAATTCGCATCAGTTGTACAAACTCACACAGCCAAGTTTGACAGGTATGCAAAGATGGGTGCACAGACAGGAATATACAGGCTCTGTATATATTTAAAATAATACAAAAAGGACCCTGGCACACGTTTTAGGGCAGCCATCAAAAAAAACGTAACTAAACTGTTTCAACTACTAAACAGAGGATTTTGTTGCAAATACATGTGGAAGACCCCCCTGTTGCATCAAGATACCTCTGAAGCAGGGGCGGAATGACCATTTGGAAACTTGGGCACTGCCCAAGGGCCCGGGGTCTGTAGGGGGCCCCATGAATTGCCCCGGTACCTTTTTCATAGGCTTTTTTGAGTTTAGACAAGGACACAGGGGACCCATGATCCATTATTGCCTGGGGGCCCCATGAGTTGTCAGTCCGCCCCTGCTCTGAAGAGTGTGGCATCTAACTCTAAACTATCTGAGTTCCCATCTATGGGACAATATAACATTGTACAAACAGACAGTAGGCTCCGCTGAAGGCTGCCCCCTTCCATGCAACAAATCAAAAGCCCAAAACATTGCCTGTGCAAGGGAGCTGATGACATCCAGTGTGTGCTTGCGCCAAAGCCAAAAAAAAATACAAAAAAAGGTCTCTGACACTCTTTCAAGCTACAAATAACCCGGGTTGGTGAAATGCATTAGAGGAGCAGATCTAAGGTGGAAAGATGTAGTGTGTGCTGTCTATCAATAAACTGTCAAACTTTTGTAACATCATTAGAGTGAAGCCCCGTTCTTCGATGTGGAGTGTATTTAAAGGAGTGTGGATGAGCACCCTTGGCTTTGCACCTGACTGGCTGCATTATGGGAGGACAATCAATCACCCTGAAGCAGTTAGGATTCAGAATTCTAATAGCCAGCACAAGCTAAAATAATTACATTCTTTGAACTACTAAGACTAATAAAGGTTTTTGTTGCATACATTTGTAAACACATGTGGAAGCCACTATGCATGCCCCATAAATAAGAACTCAGATAATTTTGAGCTAGGGACCACAGTTATTAGAGGGTCCTTAATACAGGAAAGTAGCTTCCACATCTATAACTGAATACATTTGCAAATTTTTAAGTTTGATGCTCCCGCTCAACCCTGCTGTCCAAGGCAATGGCCCACTAGGGAGTTTATGTTGAGTATAACCCTGTTCATAATACAGGTATTTGTATTACAATATTTGGCAATTTGTATGAATATTTACTTTATTTAGAGATGTACTGCAGATTTTGTAGACTTCACATGTCCTTATATGGCCACCGAGGCAGTCTCATTAGTTGTCGGAATGACAGAAGGGACAATTTAGTCATCACACATCAGGCCCCACTAACAGTGAAACTAAATCATAGATGAGCATAGAGATAGCTTTAAAACCTCGTACACAGTATCAAAAAATTGTAGATAAAGAAAATACCGCTTTCAAAGTGATCATAAGATAATCTGATCATTTGTACACAGCTTTGGACAGCCGATCATGACAGTTAACTCAAAATTATCCAAAAGTACAAACACTGACTTTTTCTTGTATTATATTTTACATTTTTCGTTTAATCAGCACAGTTTTCACCTGAAAATACAATACAATAGATTGCATAACTTCCGAAATTCTATTTTGTCGTACGAGAATTTTTGTAAGTTGAGTAACCTCTTCATTTTTGATATGGAGACTAGCATGCAAAAAAAAAAAAAGGACGATCAGTCATCCAATATTCTCATTGTGTGTATGAAGTATTAGTCAGAACTCTTATTTCAAACTTGGTGCACAGGTTCACGTACATCTTTCCACATTGAGGAGGATTTGGATCATTGACATGGCTACATATGGTGATACTTGACATAACTGACCATGCTATGTGTGCACTCTTCAACTGCGACAAATGTTGGCAGTTTACAGGAGGTGAACACAGTATTGTGCAAAACATTACTAAGGGTTCATGTCAATGGTAATTGTTTTTCTGCATTTGACATTCAATTGGAATGTATATAATAAAAAAGGTCAGCAATATCCCATTAACTAGATGACTTACTGGAGACTCTTCTATTCAAATGCAGCTGCATGCATTTGAATAGAAATAGCACATCCATTGACATGAACCCTAAAACATGCGATTCTAAATCAGTCAAAAGAGACATATTGTAAAATCGAATGGTGGATCTACTTGGGGCACAGTCACCCTCGCACCTAGGAGTCTGGATGCAACTCAGGCTACTGTACATCCTTAGAATAGTAAGCATTGCATGTTATTTGTGAGCCTTCAAATGAAACCCACTCAACAAAATGAATATTAGAAAAAAAACTGAATCAGTTTGAAAAACCAAACATATATAAGGGAAATAAAAGAGCAGGCTTTTTGCTAGCCCATGATCAGTCAATTTAAAGCAACACTTCATCCTTTTTACCAGACTCAATGCGCTCTTATTTTCTTTTTTCAATTGATTATTGTTTTTCAACAATGTAAGCACCTCTGTCAGTGTTAAATGGTGTGTCTCAACCCCCTAACTGCTACATCTGCAAGACAGCTTGTTCTGATGAAAAACAATAGACTTACTGGGCAGATCACCAGGTGGGTGCTTTTTTTTAAGTTATTTTGATTTTTTTATTATTTTTACTCTGTCCCTTTCATTTTTTTTAATACTATCATAGGGAATGCAAATATCCCCTATAACTTCAATGGGCATTGTATATATTCTTTTTTGAGAAATCTGGGGTCTATCTGACTCTAGATATATCCTCTGCCCTTACATTATCTAATCTCGCCAAGATCGGTGTGATCAGATGCTTTCCCAATTTACAAATGGCGCTGTTTATATCCTGCAAAACTGAAGTGATGAAATGCTCGTAGATTCCGATTTCTTAGACTATAGAGATGATTGGCACCATTCCGGTCTCCAATCAGCTCTATGGTCAGCTGGCAGAAACACTGGCTGCATTTTCAAGTTCCCCCGAAGGCACGGGACTGCCCGAGAAGACCGTGGAAAGCAGCAGGGGGAGGGGGGCATAGCAATCCTGTAGCTAATTAGCCACTAGGATTACTTTTACATGAAAGCCGATTGCCGGCTGAAAAAAAAAAAGATACCAGGATGATGCCTGCAGCTGTAGGCATCATCCTGGTATAACAACTCAAAAACCAGTGATGTACCAATACATCGCTGGTCCTTGTTGGGTATACAGTATATGCTATGTTCTTTTTTATTTTTGTATGTAGCCTGTGGGCTGAATGAAAAAAAGTGTGGGCTGCCATAAAAAGTGTGTGGTATGCCCACCATTAGAATATACCATCCTGCATCCATCCACTTCTAATGGTGGGCACACATTAGATCGCACAGTGCCACATGCGCCAATTCCAATATTGTACAAATGTCTAAATAGTGGCACGCTTTAATAAAAATTGTCCACATAGAAGAGGTACCCCATATGGAAAAAAAAAAGGATGACACAAAGTCCCAAACTATCTTGCCACTACTCCCCATGTAGTCTGGGCAATCCAGGGGGCTCCACGTGACTCTTTTCCCTTGTAAATCCAAAACTTATGTGTATAGCCTGTTGCCCTCTCACATCTTGGCCCCATATCTGGCAAGCTTGCTGGGGAGAAATTGTTTGAATGCAAGGCAGCCAGAAAAATTAATGAGGGACTCAAATGCAGATTTTTTTTTTGCTGGGGAGTATAGACATCTGCAAATTTTTGGTTAAGGTGATTTACGAGGGGCCGAATTTTGTGGAGCCGGTCAAATTTAGGGTCACCCAAAGGACGAGAGAGTGTATTCTCATTTAAATGCATAAAACACATTACACCCTGTTCCAAACTATTATGCAAATTCTATTAAAGTGTCACAAAGATTAAATATTTTGTTTTTCAGTTTAACCCATGGATGGCATTGTGTCTCAGGGCTCTTTTGATCACTGAAAACAATCTCGGACACCTGTGATAATTAGATTGGCAGGTGAGCCCAATTTAAGGAAAACTACTAAAGAAGGGTGTTCCCCATTATTAAACAGAGCACCTTTTTTTAAGCAATATGGGGAAGAAAAAGGATCTCTCTGCTGCCGAAGAGTGAAATAGTTCAATGCTTTGGACGAGGTATGAAAACATTAGATATTTCACGAAAACGTAAGCGTGATCATTGCACTATTAAGAGATTTGTGGCTGATTCAGAGAACAGACGGGTTCGTGCAGATAAAGGCACATTGAGGAAGATTTCTGCCAAATCCATGCATCGGATCAAGAGAGCAGCTGCTAAAATACAATTACATAGCAGCAAACAGATATTTGAAGCTGCTGGTGCCTCTGAAGTCCCCACGGACATCAAGGTGTGTAGAGTCCTCCAGAGTCTTGCAACTGTGCATAAACCTTCTATTCGGCCACCACTAACCAATGCTCACAAGCAGAAACGGCTGCATTGGGCAGAAAAAATACATGAAGACTAATTTTCAAACAGTCCTGTTCACTGATGTGTGCGTGCAACCATGGATGGTCCAGATGGATGGAGTAGTGGATGGTTGGGAACAGAACTGGTCGGCCCCTTTAGGGTCCCCAAAGGTGTAAAGATGACCTCTGAAAAGTATGTGGAGTTTATGACTGACCACTTTCTTCCCTGGTACAGAAGAAATAACTATGCTTTCCGTAATAAAATCATCTTCATGCATGACAATGCACCATCTCATGCTGCAAATAATACCTCTGCATCAATGGCTGCTATGGGGATAAAAGGAGAGAAAGTCATGGTGTTGCCTCCATCCTCCCCTGACCTCAATCCTATTGAGAACCTTTGGAGCATCCTCAAGCAAAAGATCTATGAGGGTGGGAAGCAGTTTACATCCAAACAGCAGCTCTGGGAGGCTATTCTGACATCTTGCAAACAAATTCAAGCAGAAACTGTCCAAACACTCACAAGTTCAATGGATGCAAGACTTGTGAAGCTGCTATCAAATAAGGGGTCCTATGTTAAAATGTAACGTGACCTGTTAAAATGTTTAAAAAGTTAAAATGTTGTTAAAAGTTTGATTGAAATAGCTTTTGATTTCAGTAAATATGCTGCAAACACAACAAATGACAATTTTCAGTTCTTTACAACCTATAAATTGTTTTCAAACTTACTGTGCGTAATAATTTGGAACAGTGCATTGTAAGTTTTTTATGTTTAAAAAAAAATACTGTTATCATTAGGAGGTTTGTTCAATAAAATTTGAATTGTACTCTTAATAGTTGATAACATGAGAATTATGCTGACTGTTATTTACATCAATTATAGGTAAATATGAAAAAATATAATTTGCATAATTTGGAACAGGGTATATACGCTCATATCTATGCCTGGCCATGTCAGCAGAGAGAGGTTGATGAATCGGGTCTGTGGACCAATACAACCCCAATTCATTTTTTTTTTAGTAATGCCCATGTTGAGGGTTAGGCCCAAAAAAAAAAAAATTTTAATTCGAAAACTGTAATGGGTTTCCATGCGAATGGTCTGGCAAGGTTTGAATTTGGGTTGGCGGCAATAAATTGCTTTGATCCACAATCAATGCATACAGATCTTCCGTGAAAAACAGCTCCAAAACAAAAAAAATAAATAAAGGGGAGTAGTTAAATTCGCGGTTTCCACCTGAATTCTGGGTTGGGCAGTGAATAGGGGAAGTACAGGTGCTGCAGAATTTGTGGGCTGCCAATCGGGATTTGCAAGGACATCTGGAAGGATACTAGGGGCTATACGGGCCTGTGTGCAAACTCTGGGTGGTTGGGGGACAATACTTGTGCTCACCACCACACCAGCTTGTACTGTACTTATGGGATTCGCCACGTCACCAAGTGATACTGCAGTGCTGGTATGTGAAAGACCAGGATGTACTAGGCTGTGGGTACTCACCAGATCACCAAAAGGTAGAGCGGCACTAGTACTGGCACTCTGCTGCATATGAGAGTCATCAAAATTTACCGGCAAGTGCTAACAGAGATCAGGCCTGATTCTGTGAACTCTGCGGTTTTGTGTGCAATGTATCAAGTGACAGTGACCTACTGACACTACACTTGCTGGGGGAGAAGGGGGGGGTAAGCGTAGGGGCTGATCCCGCTACGCTGCCTTTTTGGGGACGCTATACTAATGTGAATGCTGGTATAGTGCTGATCTGATCAAAGGGATTGATCCATTCAGACACTATACTAGCAATGGAGGTTTATTGTGTATGAGCCTGTTCCTAGCAATCAAGGGGTTAAATGTGATTACTGGTGTACTGACGGGCAATCTGACGCTATCTGGGTGGGGCGTGAATACCCTGGGAGCGTGAATCACGTATATATACACACACATATGTGAATTTACGCACCTGTGCCACCCTGTAGCAGTATCTCTGCTACACGGCGGTCAGGAAGCAGTTAAAAAGGAGTTTTTTTGTTACGGCATTGCGTTAATTTAACTGACAATTTTGCGGTCATACAACGCTGCACCCAAATAAAATTTGCGTCCTTTTTTTTCCCACAAATTGAGCTTTCTTTCGGTGTTATTTGATCGCCTCTGAGGTTTTTATTTTTTGTGCTATAAGCAAAAATAGACCGGACAATTTTGAGGGAAAAAAAAAAAATACAATATTTTGGACTTTGCTATTAAACATGTCCAGTAAAAAAAAAAAAAAAAAAATTTTACAAAATCAAATTTCCTCATGAAGTTAGGCCAAAATGTATTCTGCTATGTCTGTGCTAAAAAAAATCCCAATACGTGTAAATTAATTGGTTTACGTGAAAGTTATAGTGTTTACTAATGGCAGTATAGATACTGGAATGGTTTTTTTTATGTTTGTTTTTTTAATGCTAATAATGGCGGCAATCAGCGACATATGGCTGTGATCAGTGACCTATGGCAGCAATCAGCTACTTCTAGCAGGACGACAGCAGACATTCTGACACTGGGGGGGGGGGAACTGACTTGGTGTCACTGACATCCCCAGTGACACCAATACAGTGATCAGTTCTAAAAAAAAAGCAAAGTTACACTTACAGTAACGTCTTTTCCAGGAGTCTTTCAGGACAGCACCTCGAGAGACCTCAGCTCCTCCCCACCTGAGGACACACCTCCACCCAAAACAAAAGGCCTGCCTCTCCCCTCAGGACCTCAGTTCACAATCTAGCACCTCCGGTCACCTGGGGAGACACAACATAAGACACAAAAAATCACAATCAAGTCTATCTCATGAACCCATGCAACAGAGGGTGGGTAACCGGTCCTGTCCAGAAAGACTCCTGGAAAAGGCGTTACCGTAAGTGTAACTTTGCTTTTTCTCCCCTCTCCATGTTTCAGGACAGCATTCAAGAGGATCAGCGAGTACTCACCCCTAGGGCGGGACCACTGCTTGTAGAACCTGCGTCCAAAGGCCTGCTCCTGCACAGAGACCAGGTCAAGTCTGTAATGTTTGACAAAAGTGCAGTAACTGGACCACGTCGCAGCTCTACAGATCTGTCCCGTGGAAGCACCGGCCAGCTCAGCATGTGTGGCCGCCATGGCACAGGTAGAATGTGCCATGATGCCCTCCAGGACCTCCAGGCCCTTGGCCAGATACGCCTGTCCGATTGCTAGTCTTAGCCACCTAAAGTGTGTCTGGAGGCCTTATAGCCCTTCCTTACACCTGAGAAAGAAACAAAAAAATGAATCAGATTTCCAGATCTCTTTAGTTTTCTCTAAATAAAGGAGAACACATCTTCTCACGTCCAGCGTCTAAAACTTCCTTTCCTGGTCACACGAGGGGTTAGAACAAAAAGAAGGTAAAGTAATATCCTGACCTCTATGAAATCGAGACCACCTTAGGTACAAAGGCCGGGTCCGTCCTAAATGTAACCCTATCTGCAAATATCTGAAAGAAGGGGGCTCTAATTGACAGAGCTTCGAATTCACTCTCTCATTGCAGTTGTAAGTGCTACAAGGAAGACCGTCTTGAGAGTCAGGGACCTTAGGGAGCTCGAATCCAGAAGTTCAAATGGGGAGCCTGTCAGCACATTAAGAACCGTCGTCAGATTCCATTTGGGAAAGGGTCTACCCTCTGCGGGTCTCGGTCTGGTCAAGAACCTAAAGAATCTTGCTACCGGCACCTCCTTGGCTAAAGGGGACTCCATAAAAACACTCAGAGCCAATACTTGGCTCTTTAGTGTACTAACAGCTAGGCACTTGTCGGCCCCTGCCTGCAAAAATTCCAGGACCGAAACTAAGCTATAAAGTTTCCACGGAAGCTTGGGTACACC